CAATTGTGACTAAATACTTCACGATAATCAATTTTTAAACTGAACATAAAAAGAACCTATGTGTAAAACGTATCTAAAAATGAAGAATATGTCAGGTGAAGATTAAAGTTAAAAAACTTTACAGTGGTAAACTTCTTAATGTTTTATCAAAGAATATAAAAATGACTTATTTAACAGTTTTAATTACACATCATGAACCTTTGTTCATCTTAGAGTTAGAAAGTATGACTAGAACTAAATTTTTATCAGATCACTGATTAACTCTAATCGATATCTTTGGTACAACTAATGAAGTTATTTTAGGACAGTAATGATGATTTATAGCTTATGTGGATGATTTTGGTGAAGTCTCGTTCTCTAAGATGGATAGTTCAGTTATGAACCTTTATTATTCTTCCGAAAAAAAATATCAACACAAATTCCAGGTGGAAGTTAAGTACTCCACTGGCAGCTTATTTTATCAACCTTTATCTTAACTGATTACTGTCAATCAATGACCTGTCGTTATATTTATGGTTATTTTGATAGTCTACCCCTCCGACTTAATTCTTGTTCCTCTTAATTTGTTTCTGCATGAACACCAGATAGCTGTTAAATGCTGCGATGTATCTTTGTTAGTAGCGATTCATGTAGACATTTAGGGACACACGTTCAACAGAGTAATTGTTGAAGTTTCAGATATAAAGAACGCAAAGAAAAAATAGAGGATCTTTAGGAGCCTGATAATCAGGTCGTTTAGTAGTCAATAAACACGTCGAAATCAACCCGATTTACCAATCAATTGAAAATTCGTGGACAAATATGGGATCAAGAATATGGTCGAAGAGGTAGACTGTAAAAATAAACACACATATAACAACAGGTCGTAAGCCGACAATAATCAGTAAAGATCAAGGTCAACAAAACGAGCTGTTAGTGGAGTACCTAACTTTCAACTGAGCTTTGTTCCAATGCCTTTGTTCGGAAGAATAGTGAAAGCTTCAGGATTAAAGCATTCGGCTCAAAGAATGTAAATCTACCAAAAAGTTATTTTTACTTAGAAACTACTGTGACCGTATTCTAACGTCCAATAGCTGAATTTTCAATCTAGTGGTATTTCTCAAGTATTCACTCTATTTCATTTTTCAGTCTTGATATTATCCAAAATTATATCAAAAAGGATATAAATTTTAACTATAATCTCGAAAGTATGTCTGACCTAAAAACAAATGTGGTAAATTATATACTTTGTCACTAACAGCTAATCTGAGAAAACAATTCTTTCTCTCACTGTAATTAAACTGTTAATACCATCTAAAACAGAATAAACTTTTCGAGACGTACATTTTTTAGAAAGGTGATTTGCGAAAGCAGTAGAGATTTTGCATTAGAAAATTCTGATTTTCAATCTACCATACTCTCATGTTTATTTATGGCCGAAAAGAAATTATCGTATGAAATGGATGGAATGGAATAAATCTTTATTAGTAAAAATGGTTATAACATGATATTAGTAGTATTTACCAGCTCTAATCATTACTTTACAGCTATATCTGGAATATAATTTGAATGTCTTAATGCTACAAAATTGATAAGACACCTAATATAAAATAACTGGGAGGACTTTACATATTAAAGCAAAGTGCACAGAACTGTTATTTTTGTTTTATTGAATATATCAAAACTTCAAAGATTTCATATTTTGTAATTTTATTGATCAATATTATTTTTAATCGTATTTCCATGCGTGATAGTCACTTATAATAATTTCCCAAAACGATAAACCTTCTTGAGAAATTGTTATTGATAATGATTATATTAAATTAGGGCTATTGGTATGTTTTAGAATTAGCATTATTTAGCTGCAAGGAAATGATTTTACCTTACTAATTACAACGTATCGTGGGTTTTACAGATCAGTCAAAACCCGGAAAAACTGCTGATTTAATAGCGCTTTTCGAAATGTTGGGAAGTCAGTATGGCAAGCTATATCTAGAAAATTCTGACCTTTTGAAACGCCATCACCAAAGCAAACAAGTAGAAGCTCAGTAAGTTTAAAAGTACTATTTTTATATGTATCCAATTTAATTATTATATGCGTTAACTCAAAGTGATACGCTTACATAAAAATTTCGGCACATATTGTTCGGTTCCCTAATTTGAAGTATAAAATGTCACAGCGTGGTTTTATATTTGTCGCATCAGTGAGGTAAAAAAATTGTCATCGAAAAATTTGACTTTAACTTTGGAACGTTTTGGTAATGTCCTCTATTTAGTCAGGTATTAATGGAATTCACAGCAAAAATAATAAAAGTAAGGTGGCATGCAAGCATTTCAAATCCTCATAACATATTATTTCCCATGAATTCATAGCCAATCATCTAGGTGAATTTCAGAAATCCCTATTTTTATTTCGATTTCCACCATTTGAGTTTTTTTGTTATTTGAGATCTAAATTTCGTCCGATAGTCGTTATCTCAATCCAATAAGCATTGTTTTGATTTTAATTTATATCATGAATTGACCGATGTTGGACCACCACTAAAAACTTGGGAGCACTGTACGACCGTTTTGTCATAGTATGGGACTCCTCGGTAGTTAAAGATATACTTTGATAACGAATTTCAACTAGCGTGGATCTTAAATCGGTTAAATGCAATACTATGCACTCTCTGCGTCTGTTTGCTGTCTGTTTATCTAACTTGTTATTTAAAAGTAACATATGTTTGAACTTTAGGCTGGAGCGAAACCACGTTTCAGTGGGATTAACTTTGACTGGATGAATTTTTTAATCGTCACGTGAATTTCCAAAACTACAAGTATTGGGTAGTGAATGTGTAACATTTTCAATTCACTAGACCATTCACATAGGTGTCAGTAGCATGAATTTGCAATACCTAATTATTTAAATACTTATGAGTCAAGAAGTATTCGGATTATTCCAGCATCTACTTTTTGAATATCTCAGTGCTGCCTAACATTTTATCTTGCTTCTTAAAGACTAAACAGGCTTAATCGATAATGCCATGTCTCTAAGTTTGTGATCTTACAACAACAGCAATTTATGCTGCTCTTAAGATAACAAAACTGTCTTTCTTCGTTCATGAGGATATGAGTCACTATCACTGTCTGTTAGTTTTCGCATCTTTATTAATATGTTTTCTGAGAATGTATGTAGTTTGATATGATTTCAGCTGAGAAGCCTAATGGGATGAGGAAGTGTGAACATTCATTAAGAACAGCTTGCAATATTGTTTCTAAAAGACGTTTGTAGGTCTGTAACACACTTATGAAGCTGAGTTGCTCATGTCAATCGACATATGATAGAGATAAACAGATTGACTACAAGTATGTGTTTTGGAGACAGTATAAAATCAAACTAAAAGTCGAAAATTGTTAAAAGCATTGTCAAAATCAATAAAACTAAATAGCGAAGATATATTATAGTAAACTATTGGGACATTGTTTGTTATAATTGAGTAGAATCAACACGTAATATGCATGCTTTCTATGGTATAATGACACCAAACACGAAATTAATTTTCCATCAGTAATTATCACTTCCCTTTCTAAAGTGTTAATTGAGTCTCAATATTTGTGCAATTTTGGTACTGTGTAATATAAATGAGTCGTAATTAACTTCATCTTAAATAAAGACATTACGATTTGGTTAAATATAGCACTCGCTTAAAAATCACCTAGTTGGCACTTGTTAACAAGGCATACCTACAATCGTGAAGGAACTGATGATTCTTGCAGGATTCGAACCAGCACCATCTAGCTTCACAATACATTATTGCTAAAATCTTCAGGCCATTATTGATACCTTGTAGACTTAGATATCTAAATTGATTGATCACTGACTAGTGATAAATATCACTTTATTCTAGTCTAACTGACAAGTGCCAATTAGCAGTTAACCTATGTACATAGTTTCCTACCGACTCCTGTCAAGCACCTTAAATCGAAATCTAATGATTTTTGACAAGATAATAATCAAAATAAAACGTTTTAAATAGCATATGGTTGTATTTTGTTACGGTTCATAGTCTATATATTAAGTAGTGATATGGCTATGTAAATAAGCACGATCAATAACAGTTGTGTGTTCACAAATGCATACTTCTCAACTAACAAGACACTATGCACATGGATGTAAAGTATGTGTACGTAAATGCTTACTAGTGTGTGTTTATTACTTAGAAAACGTCGGTAAGTTTTAGAGGTTGATCAATAAATTCATTTATGCATTTTTGACTTTAGTACACAATTTTGAAGCACACTCTTACCAACAGAATAATCAATTTCGAGCAGCTGACTGACTAACAACTGATTATTTTATCTATTCTGTGAACATTTCTATGGAGTAATTAGTTGTAAATTTTTAAACGTTTAATTATTATATAAAATCAAATAATTATGTGTAGAATGTTTTGATTTTTAATGGGTTTTCTTTAAATGTAACCTTACCTATGGTTCACTAGAGAAGACAGGTTATGCTTTTCAGTCGCTGTTTGCTTTTAGGAATCAAGATGTGTATTAAACGAGATAGGAAAATACTGTTTATTAGAAAGGGTACAGATGTTATATTCATGATAACCCATACATCCATGAAAATCAACAATTTCCAAAGGTATTTTAGAGAGTTGTTTGTAAGATAACTCATGTATATAAATCTATTAATGATTGATTATTGATCTGCTTAATGATTTCATGATCTAGAAGCAAAGTGCCAATAATTGCATACAAACAAATACTTTAAAGCTATTATATATATATATATATATATATATATATATATATATATATATATATATATATATATATATATATATATATATATATATATATATATAAGTCAATCTTACTTATGACATGTGATACGTATAGAAATGATTTCATTTATCTATTTAGTGAATTCTTAGAAATAAAGACATTCAAAAATTACTAGTTACACATAGCATGTATGTATGATGATATATTATTGGTCAATTTACATCATTTTTAAAAATAAGACTCACGGTAGCAATAATAACAGCATTAGAAAATATAGTAGAGAGATTATATTTTATACCAGTAAAGTTCAAACAAATCACTCATATGCCAGTAGGATTTTTTAAAGTACTAATGATAATTTGCATTAACTCAAAGAGCTTCATAAAAATAACCAACTTCATTTGTTAATATTCTTTATTATGTATGAAAAATCAGAGAAATCACATAATGCACCATTTTTCCAGGTGTCACCTATATCCTCTCAATCATTATCTTCACGATTGTCATCAAAGAAGTCCAATCAAACAATAGTGAGTGCGAAAAAATTACACAATCCATTGGATAATGAAATCTTCCTAATACAACCACCGAACACTACTGTTTGTATTGGTGACAAAAATCATAATAAAAATGAGGATTTTCAACACACTGTATGTCAAACAGTAAACAAGAAAAATGATAAGAGAAGCACTAAAGAGAAAAATAATGGTCAAAAATCGTCTTTATGTAGTCGACTTTTTCCTTGTTGCGTTAGTAAACAGTCTAAACCAGCAAAAAATTCTTCTTTTTTTACTAGACCAAATGATAACGACGATGATTGTGACAATAATGATAATCATAAAGATACTGGGAATAAACAAAAACTAATCACTGAGTCACCGTCTACAGAAGTTGATTATTTAGATAATTCAGATGAAGCTACTTTAAGATTAAAGGTAAGCATTGTATTTTCCGAAAACATTTTTAATGATCTAAGGTACGATTTCATTATATTTAAAGAAAACAAACAGATTCTACCTCTTTGTAGACACAAACTATGTGACATATGGGTGTAAAATAGTAAAATCTAATATGAAATTGACCAGGTAATAAAATATATCATTCTAATGAAAGAGAAAAGTTAGCAATTTTCGACCATTATAACAACAATTAAAAGGTATATAGACATCGATATCACTAAGCACTATCATATGTGTAGGTAGTTTTACTGCCAGTCTCCGACGAATAGAATCCACATGGGGTATAACACTAACATTGTTTTCAAACTTCTTGAAACATCGGTAATAGGAACTGAATTTGAAAGTTTTTCCGTTTCTACGATATCTGGCGAGACTAAAAACCACAAATTTCGACCAATATTCAATCTCCGATTTTATTCAAAATTAAATACAATTGTTTCTTGAAAACAGATAAAATGTAATGTTGAACGGACTTGAAATTCTAGAGGCTTTCACCATTTAATCAATTATGAAATTCATATCCAGCTAAAAGAAACAGTTCTAAACTTCGAGGAAACTGCATTATCATCTGTTCCAAGTCTGATGCTATAATTATTCATGACGGTGATACTGTATATTGAGATTTATTTTAAGAATAACAATAAAAATAAATGGTAAAAACATTCCAATTTCCTGTGGGAAAATCAAAGAAAAGTATCTAAACCTGACTGACCAATAGTTTATGATTAACAGATTCATTTTTAATGCTGCCATAAATCTAGGTAGGTTTCCATGAGTACGTATATGTTTGAATACATATTATTTGTATTTGCTACTACCCTTTCTATGGTAAAATTTATAATATGATTTGTGTTCTTTTTTGGAATTCTGACGTTTTCAAACGGTTTTCACTGATCAATTGTTTGATAAGTCATTCAGAAGCACATAAGCAGACTGGTACAATGTCACATCTACTGAATGTCGCGAATGTAAAAGCATTTGGCGCATTAAGCGACCAGTATAATCACATTTAGAACAGTCATGTGACCTAACACATATTTTTTCTATCATATTTCCCACGTGTTGTCTGACCTTAATAATTATGAATCATCCAGAATAAATATTTGTTTATTAAAGCATAAAATAATCAATATTATCACTTAGCTTTTTTGATTTAGTAGTAAACTGTACTATAGTAAACAATTTTACAAAGAATAATTAGTATACGTTTTATTCAAAGATTGTCCATACTTGGAAAAGTGAATCCAATAGTGTTCACTTATCGTATCTTTATTATGTCATAAGTTCGCAGTATAAGAATTTGTGGTCGAGAGACATTTTAAATGTATCGAAATAAACGTACTTATGGGGTTGTCAGTGACTTGTTCTATTACCTGTATACCTTATTATAAACCTGGAATAATTTTGTGTAACTGCTTTTTCTCGTTCTTGAAACTTTATGACTACCTTTCCATAGTTTCTAATAGCAAGAATTAAAACATAGATGCGAACTCCGACCGCCTAAAATATGATGGACTCAGTCTTTTAAAAGTCGTTTATTTGTGATTTCTACAATCACAAAATTTCCCCCAAAATATTGGTCATTAAAAACCATGAGCAATAAATAATTTGATGAGCCAACAAAAGCGATCATCCTTCAACTAAGTAACGGTGTTACGAAAACGGGATTTTAAAGTTCTCATATGTTTGAGTCCTTAATAAACCTACATAGATATTTAACTTGTTTTCCTTCACGAAAATAAAATTATGGATTATATTCGCTTTGATTTAGATTAACCGAAAAGTTCCAACTCTATGTTATTTCTATCCATCTTTAATGATATTGTAACTTAATCTTATACTGTTAGTAATTGCCCAAAACTTATGCTGACTTGTGTCATTTGTTTGACACCACTTTGTGGTAATAATTTACATTATGGTGGAATGATAAACAAATTTACAAACCAGTCTTTGTATCACAAGTATAAGATCGATTTTCATACAGACTGAAAGGATATAAAATCAGTAACTTTTATTATAATGCACTAACCGAAGATTACGTGATGACCATTTTTATATTGTGTGATTAGTAACAGATGATTTGGTACCAATTCTCTAGAATAGAAGAAGTATAGGAATTGATTCCTCCCAAAAAATTCAAAAATAAGCATTTTTGAGCTCAATATTTGACTATTGTAGTGATCTAGATTGATTATATTCTAAAAATATTGTGTTTGATTAGTTAGATATATTCTGAAGGTACTACTGAATTAATTTATCATACAGCACGAAAACACACTAGACGAAACTTTCTCATTTTAATTTTTCTATGATAAGATCAGGAAAAATTAAGATCTATATTTCACTAACACGTTTTCATCATCAACAACCATCTGGTACCTTATTCCAGTATGGCTGTAACTTGTATAACATCACATCGCTTATGCTTAGAATGGATTTATTTAGATATTAGCTCTCTTTCTCTATGATGAGGTGACTGTTTATATTTTTTGTAAGTTTTTGTTACAACACCTAAGATGTATGATTAATATCTAACATGTGAAAATAGCCACGATCTGTTTAAAATGTCAACAATCATTTATGAAACTATTCATTTTGAATCAGAACTAAGCCTTCCATTAAGGTAAACAAATACCCAAGTATGTAATTTCGAAAACATTTCTAATAAAAAACCATATTTTACAGTACACTGAATTTAAGTAAATTTTTTCTCAATATACTCAAAGTAAATGTTTTCACATTTAAGACCTATTGAATTTTCGCATTCTACTTCTGCAGATGAATTTGTCATGATCCCATCAATATTAATCATGGCAAATGCACTCTTTGCATAACAAAATTTAACAGTTACTTACTTTTAACTCCTCAGTAATCATACAAATTCATCTAGTGTACAAACATCATAGCTTTACATGTTTGTTTCTAGAATTTTATTTTATTTTATCCATGATCCTTCTTCATTTTATTATCATGTTTATCAATATTTTTAATGAATTACATTTATGTTTTAAAATCCTAGTTTTATTTTTAACTCCCTTCCTCCACTTCATTGAATACCTTCTCCTCATACTTATCAGTTGATTCTTAATGACGGTCAATTGATTTATTATAACGTCCAGAAGTTAACTTAAATTTCATATGTGAATAATACGTAGATGCCTTAATTTTATCACTTTTAGGATTCCTTTAGGACCTATGAAGAACGTCAGAAATATAAATCTATCATTCAGGATGCTCCATTGTACCAAATATATACAGAGAAGGCTTCAATCAGTGAATCAAGACGTGATGCACGAAGACTTTTAGGTTAGTAAACTTCAAGTGTAATTCTTATTTTCATTTATTGTTTTACATATTGTTCAAATGAATAAGGTTTTCCTTTTATATCAGTAACTCATAATTTATATCTTGAATATTACCGTTAGCTGATCGAGTTTGTTACGTTCACAATATCCAGTATCTAATCTATTAGGAGGCAGTATTAAACTGTGAATCACATTGGATTAGACTTTGAATTAAAATAAAGGAAGTATTTCATTGATTTTTTCCATAAAACATATAGTGGATATTAAATATATTTCAATTATATTATTATTGAAAACAATCGTAATTTTTAATATCTCTAGCTGATCATACTGCATATTCCATCCTGGTTATCGTATATTGATAATTATTTCAAACAAAGATTATACGATAAACTGAAGGAATATACTTTTTTTATATATTATATCAATTTTCAAGAAAATAATTTTACAGTATCGTAGTTTAGGTAAGAAAATTATTACATGCCAACAATTGTAAACAATTAAATTACTTGGAGAACAGTTCAACAGATCATACGCGTTTTGTCAGCTTCTATAGCCAACCAATTTCTTCAAAGATTATACTTAGTCTTAATTTATGTATTGACTGGAGAATAAATTCATGTGATGAGTTGAACTAATTTCAAGGTGTTTCAAATTACCTTAGAAAGTGCTAATATACTAGTACAAATTTTAAAGTGAACTAGTGATATTAATAATATATGTTCTATTGACTTTAAGACGAAAAGCTTAAATGAGTTAGAATACAAAAATTGATATTTTATAAAGCTTTTGCTGCCTAGATAGTTTTTATATATCCAGGCTTATTGGTCAATTAAAATAATCTTATATATTATTTTCCGTATTTTTTCTTATAAAGTTTAGATCAGTGTTTGATAAATAATGACTTTATGGACCGTTGGTTTGAAAAATGATAGTAACTTTTAATATAATTTGTTCATATATATTACTGTCTAGCGCTCAGTAGTATTCGTAGCATCATGTAGAAAGTGATATCTGTTAGTTAAATAGTTAATACCGTCTTCTTATGCTTAATATCATCAAACAAAATACAATGAATTCTAGCAAGAACTCAACATATCAGCTGTTTATATGAAGAAACTGACATTCCTGTAACAAATTCTGAATATAAGGTTATAAACAAAGTGTATATTTTAAGTAAAGGCTTTCTTAATATGCAAAACTAATTTATTTCCGCCATTGTACTTAGAAAATCTGCTGCTCTTAATTTTTTGTAAGTTTCTTAACTAATAAAGAACTATTTTTCGCTCTTTAGATAAAAAAATAACACTGACAATCGTTTATTTCCCTTATTAGAATAAAGAAATTAGAATAACCTCATGACTCATACAGTTTTATCAAACATTTGTTTCACTGTATTGCTAAAAGAAAACAAATCTGTAGAAAACTAAGGAAATATCACGATGTATGCTACCTATATTGACAGATATAAGTAGTGTGTAGCATCAATCGAAAGTGGAATGCATGCCGGTAGGAGATTGAGAAGTTTCAATTGAAGAGAACAGAAAGGGAAACAAAAAGTAATTAAAATAGCAACATAATTGAAAAAAACCATAAAGCATGTAAAGAACAACTGATGGACGATGTATTTGATGTATAGTTTACATATTATACGAAATCACTCTGTAATTTTGCATTGAACAATAAACTGGTTATCCCCATTAAATCTGCGTTCACTTCAATATATGGACGCATATATTTATACAATAAGTTTAATTGTCATAATCTATTGTATAATTCATGAATTTCTTTGTCTACATTATTTGAAATATTTTTAATTACATTCCAAAACTTATAATCTAAGTTTAAGTACAGAAATTTACAAAAACTATTTACATTATTCTGATCAATTAACAAAATACATTTACCGATACATATATAAATTTGTCGTCCTGGCTTTTAGTGGTTGAAATCAAGTTGCTTGAATAACACATTACTATTATGATCATTGTTATTATTATTACTTGTGACTTTCACTCTATTGATCAAGAGATAAGGGGATTAAATGCGGCCTATGCTCTTCCACGAGGAGTAACAGGTGTAAGTAGTAAGTAATGAGTATTTAAACAACTATATATTCTCTGTTGTAAACAATTCACCTCACTACTGTTACCAACAAATTAAACAAAAGACTATTAAGGAATTAATAATAAAAATAATTTAATGTTTCAGCAAAAAATTCATCCATCAACGCAACTAAAAAATTTTTATTCCTAATGAATTATCATCTTCATTTTAACATAGTTTTTCGGCCTTAATGAGCGTTCGATAAGCAAGATATAAACGGACCAATTCATTTATAAATGAACTTTTATATCCTATTATAATTTTATATCCATCCATATCATGAATAATTAGATGATTAATAGTTTTTCAATTGGAATTAATTATCATCTATTTAACACTTATTCCTAATGGTTTTCTTTTTAATTTCGTAGACATAAAGTCACATGTTTACTTATGAATAAACGAATCATACAACTAGATTCTTTTATTTTTTTTCAATGAACATTCATTCCGATTACATGCATATACAGATATATTAGGAAGACGTTTATGTGACTTGTAGAAATATGCTGCTAATGTAGATAATAACTTGAATTCTGTCTCAGTCTATATACACTTGAACATACTAAACTATACTAGATATATACAGAACCTTAGTTAAATTAAAAAGTCTTTCTAAGAAGACTAGAAAATGTGAAACTCAGTTGATGAATATATCAATGCTTTGTGCTCAATAAATTTAGATTTTTATCCATTTGGAAAAATAAGTTAATTGTTTGTTTAAAACCCATATTTAACTGTCATTAAATTGTTTAGCTCTCGTTCAACCTGGCTCTTTGGATAATCCATCAAATAATTTAAAATTTGATGATGAATTATTTACTGCAATAGATGGTGATGAATCCGATCCAAATAATCAGTATTCACAAAAAGTACCTAGTAATTTGATAGATAGTCAACAGTCATCTATTCGTATGAAAAATTCTGAGCGAAGAGATTTGCCATTTCATCCACAGAATAGCGGCTCTTCCTCATTCAGATCAAGGAATAGTGACTCACTGAAAACCTCTTCAGTTAAGCGGGCTCATTCAAATTCTAATGCTAGTGAAAGAAGTGGAAACCAAAATTTTATTTCTAAGCCGCGAAGACAGACTCAAGAAGTTCAGAATTTCGTGAATGAAGTTGCTGGAAATGGACCTAATCGTGTACAGTGGTCTGAAATGCCTCAAGTGATCAGCGCAGGTTTGGCCAGGGACCTACCTGATTATCAAAAGAAGTTGCAAGAGGTTTGTTTTGATTAGCTTATCATTTACTGTAATCAATATCTTCGTGTAATTCAGTATCTGATCCCGATAATTATATACAAGTTTCCTGTGCGCGGGCCCAACATAAATAATTGAATAAGAATGATGCTTTATTAGATAACTGAATCGATATAAATATATACGTAATCCTTCAGAAAGTTAAGCCATGTATTCGACGTATAATGAGTAATTCGTTCCTTAAGAAAGAAAGATAACTCTTGGCCAATAGCGTGAGATTATCATTTGCTCGTTGTCTGTTCTACCCTCTTCATCAATTGGCAACAATAATAACACTAAATATTACGTCCAGCTTTTTCAAACGACCAAATATTGTGTCTAATATTCAGTGACAAACTAGCTCCGCTTTCTTATTATTTGAACCATAAATTCCACAACATTTTAATTACAACATAAGTTCGCAACGATAAATAGCCTCTAGGAAACTCTCAGCTGGTTTTAAGTATATCCCAATGGAATAAATGTATAAATAAAATCAATATGACTTTGTTAAAACAGGCTAACTAACACTCATTTCTCTGATGTACAAAGTCAATGATAAAAATCAAAATTGTCATGCTTCTACTAGTGTATTTAAAATTTCTGGTCACGATGATAAATCGATTGTAAAAAACAACGATAAAATCACGATTATCTGACACTGATAAACCGCGAATGTATACCGAACTGAGAACTGTTCAAAAAACTGAATCTTATTACTTAATATAATGCATGGTGATTTCCATCCTAAATGACAGTTAAAAGACTGGAAAGCTTTTCATATACAATCGAGTTATGTTGCTTGACATTTCGAAACGAAACATGAACACATGCAAGATCATAAATTAAAAGGACATAACGAAAAATTACATATATAATCATTTGATATGAAGTGAAATTTTTAAGTTACTAAATATCAAAGCAGATTACTGACTATTGATGTCTATATAGGTAGCTACTTATCAAAATATAGTCTGAATAAATTCATTCAAATAGTGACCTAACAATATTCATTATGTATAATATTCTGGCGTAAGTAAGTAAGGTTAAATATTTCACAGCTTATTATTACAACTTTGAAACTTTGGGAAAACAGAACACAATACGGAATAAAAATGTTAACGTAAATATAGATTACCGAGTGGGAGTTTTTCTTTAACCCGCAATCCTTTTTTGAAACCATGAGTGCTAATACACGTTATTCTTAAACAATCGTCTGAACATTATACAAGTACTAGTTTATTTTGGGAATAGCAAGAACGAAGATTCCAGCAGAATAGCATGAATTCATTTTATTTCGTAGGTTCTCGTCACCTGCTTACAACCTGTGATATTTAAAAATCATAATTGCATAATGGATTTAAATTGCTTACAGAATATTGTAAATATATACCTAATGTGAAAGAATATTCTACAACATTAATTGTGACAACAGTTCAAAAAATGGGTTAGAAACAATTGATTACATAATGAATAAACATTGATAGGAATATAGTGATTAGAGTTCAGTTGAAAGATTATTAATTTGAAAGATAGTTGAAAAGATAAATTAGAACCAATGATGTAATAAATGCAACAGAAAAAAGAGGAAAAAAAATAAAAAAAATTTAAGGTTCAGTGAAGGAATATTTGTCACCAGGGTAAGGAAAGATTAACCACCGTCTCCTTTTGAATACATAGGTCAGGTTTTTGTCGCCTGATGGCAATGGCTTCAGCAAACTTCAGAAGACTGGAGTTTGGCTGCTTACTAATCACCTGATGTCCTGTATCAAGGAGATGTTTGGTGATCGCACTGTTCAGAGTCTTTCTTTCCCTTGTTCTAAGACTTTTTGGAACATGTTCAAAGAATCTAAGATATGCTCTCCTTTCAGTTCGGCCGATGTAGCTGCTTTGGCAGGTACACGTAAATTTATAAATGCAGTTGGCGGTAACCTGAAAGGGTTGCTTGTCGATCTTTGATTGGGTCATTGAACATGTTGTTTTATAGAGAATTAAAAGTTTAGCAGCCGGATAAGTTCTGGCTAGCGCTGTATTCAGTCTCTTGTCGATAATTTGTGCGACGTCATCACCTTTAAAGTTAAGATTTATATATACTGGCTTTTTATTGACCATAGTTATTACCGTCTTCTTTTCCTTGGGCCTTTTATATTTGTCAATAAACTTTTGTGGATAAAAGTTTCCTTTTAGACATTTTTCTACGTTCATTAATTCTTCTTCCAGTTTGTCGGTGGTGCATATCTTTTCTGCCCTGTAAAATAGTGTTTAACCAACGCCTTCTTGTAACTAATTGGACAAAAACTATTGAAATTCAGGTAGAGGCCATTCCAATTACTTTTTCTATAAATTTTTTTTCTTTTTTTTCCTCTTTTTTCTGTTGCATTTATTACATCATTGGTTCTAATTTATCTTTTCAACTATCTTTCAAATTAATAATCTTTCAACTGAACTCTAATCACTATATTCCTATCAATGTTTATTCATTATGTAATCAATTGTTTCTAACCCATTTTTTGAACTGTTGTCACAATTAATGTTGTAGAATATTCTTTCACATTAGGTATATATTTACAATATTCTGTAAGCAATTTAAATCCATTATGCAATTATGATTTTTAAATATCACAGGTTGTAAGCAGGTGACGAGAACCTACGAAATAAAATGAATTCATGCTATTCTGCTAGAATCTTTGTTCTTGCTCTTTTCAAAATGATAAAGGGAGCTATGTGTATAAAATACTTGTTTATTATCTCATTTCATACAGTCACCAAACAAAATCGTTTAGATAAATATAAATCCTTGGTGTCACTACATTGAATAACCCAGCTGACTTATTTGTTTTACTTCAGTAACAGATTGATAGGAAAAATGACCATGAGTGTTGTTTGTTTCTGTAAATTCGAAAGTAGACAATTACCTTTTCCAAAAAGCTGAAATTTGAGATTTTCATTTGACGTTTGAATTTAATATAATAATTGGTAGTATTTGATTCATGTAAAGCAAATAGTCAGGTTTAGCGTTTATACTTTTCAAAGTTATGTGACTTTTTTGTTAGTGGTTAGTGGTATTCTTAACACCGCTGAGTGAAGGAAGAATTTGACCCTGTCATGTTACTAATTCGTAACACCAAAATGATTATCTCCCTTTTTCAGGCACTGTTTGAAGTTATAACGTCAGAAGCGTCATACTATCGAACCCTGCATATTTTAATAGAAAAGTTTTATAAAGCTCAGTGTATGCAGCCAGATTCTAAAACGTCTGTTATAACAGCTATTGAGAAACGACACTTATTTTCAAATATATCGGAAATATTTTTCACTAGTGAAACGTAAGTTCAAATATAAGTTTCTATTTTACCATATTGATTTTTATTCTTGTACATTTACGAAATATATATTCAAAATTTTGCTCGAACAATTATATATAAAACTTGATGATAATTTATGCTGTTTGATCTTAGAAATCAATTTCCACACTACTTTTACGAAAAACGAATCAAATAGTATATATCTCTGTCATTTTATATCATCACTTCATAGATCTTTTCAATGAATAGGACCTGACTGTTGTCATTCATCCTTAAAATCAATGACAATATCTATCATATAATTCGTTGACCCTTAGTTTCACTTACATTGGATGCTAGGTTGAATCCGATGAATATTTGTATGGAACGTTAATTCGAGTTCTGAAATTTATTTACAAATCTTATTAAATTTCGTTGAGAAATAACTACTGATGAGTATTTAAAATTTCGTGATAACTTTAGATTCCTAGGAATATGTAACACTGAATAAAATGATAATTAATAATTTTTCTCAGTTCTTTCAGATATTTATGTAATTGAATCTTTTAGCCCTTGTGTAATACCTAATTTTACTGGAGAAACCATTCGAAATAATTTGATTAACGTTGGATTTTGTATTTTGTTACACAATGTAAACGATTGAAACAATCTGCTTATCAGCCAACTCACGAGTAAGAAGGAGTTGAAAGGATTTCATTAATGTCCTCCTACTAGTTACAAAATTTCCGGCTAATTTTAAACTCATACATGTGAATGGTTAATAAAGGCATACAGTGATTAGGATAAGTTTAAGCTGATCTACATCTTCCGTTTTGAGTTTGTTTTCAAGTTATCAATTTAAGTAGTGAATGAAATCCAATTCTTTTACAACCCTTGACCTTGTAGTTATCAAATCATTATACAGCTTAACTAAGTTCTTACTGTGAGTGTCCAACAACGTCAGACATTCATAACAATCAAAAAAATACTTCACCCCCCTCAGCATTAATAGTCATAAGTGAGAATTTCTCCATTAAAAATTATAGTAGTTCCTCATTCCTATTTTGGCTTACCGAATAGAAGGACAAATTAATAATAACAATCTCGACAAATCCCTAAACTGACAATAATAAACAACATTTTTACTTAGATCAGGAAATTCCTTTCAGAATTATGACATTCAGCTTAATCATTCATTGCTGAAAAACTTAGTTTTGTGGGCCATTAAATGAAATAAAATTAAGGTATCAAGCAGACTCGATAGGCTTATTTGCATTAATCAATAGCCTTTTGGTAAAATGTTTCGATCGACTCTAAACAATATTATAAATGAATAACAGAGAATTTATTTTTACATTATACATGAAACTACTAATGAGTAGTACATATCATTAATAGGTAAAGTGTTTAATTCTGTAACAAATTGGTGACTGGCTTAACTTTTGTATATTCTTTTTATTATTCTAATAAATATACGAAATGACTAGATTATTATGGTAAATAAGAACTGATACATTCCATCTTTGCGTTTCCATTTAATTTTGTTAGTTTTCTTAAAAATCCGTTTTATCATTCTAGTTATTTATCGTCAAAATTTTGTTTATCTCAATTATTTAGATTTCTTCGAGATATGGAATTATATTTTATTCAAAATCCACTGATACCTCAATTATGTGAAATTATATATGAACATACTGAGAATCATTTTGAAAACTATGTAAAATATGTACAAAATCAAATGTACCAATTAAGAACATTAACGAAATTATTGTAAGTCATCATTAATATAAATTGTATCATTTTAAGATACCCTACGAAAAAAAATTAATGCAAGAAAGTATTAAATTGAAAGTGTTCTCACTTTTTTTTTAACGAAATATTCCCTATATATAGTTTATCACTTTTTTTAAGATAACATATGTATCTTTAGAAAGTTAAATTGAAATTTGTATTGATACAAAGTATACATTCGTCTTTATTAAAAAGATACCGTCATTCTAAAAACAAAATAGAAAATTTCAAGTATAGTTCAAAGAATCATGGTTTTCAAATGTTCTATTTAATAAACAAAAAAATTATTAAATTACTTATGTGTAAATGAAAAATAATTATCTCTGAAACTTAAAGACTCATATCAATTTTCATTAAATAAAAATTCATTTTATTTCAAATCTTTCCATTCGTTGCAAATAATCTACAACTAGAATAAACGATCAAATTTTTTTTAAAAAGACACATGTAAATTGTTGAAGTTTAATTCGAAAACAGAAACAGACAGTGACAAACACAAATCTAAATAGTAAAACTTATCAAATAAAGTTGTAAAGTATCGTTAACACAAATTTATATTCATATTAAGTGTCTTACGATTACTAAAAATGAAAAGTGACTGTTACTGATAATCACATAATTTCTAAATAGTGAATAGAATCATTTGTTATATTCACATTATATTATCATTTTAATGATTAAGATCTCCATCTTTAAATTGTTGAATAAAAATTTTCTCTTCATTTTTATTATTCTTTATTTCAAACGTAATAGTTTTCTAAGGAACTGAATAAAGGTAGCACGGAAAAATATATCAGGAATTATATGCCATTTTGTAATGCGATAAAATATTTTGAGTATTATTTTTACATTTATATTAGTAGGGAACAAAATCTAATGAAACTGATCAATGTCACAAAATCTTACTTACTTACGCCTGTTACTCCTAATGCAGCATAGGCCACCGACCAGCATTTTCCAACCCACTCTGTCCTGGGCCTTTCTAGTTCTATCCAATCGTTATACATTCTTCTCATGTCTGTCTCCATTTCTCGCCGTAATGTGTTCTTTGGTCTTCCTCTCCACCTTTAGCCTTAAGGATTCCACGTGAGGGCTTGTCTTGTGACGCAGTTGGGTGCTTTCCTCATTGTGTGTCCTATCCACTTCCAGCGTTTCTTCCTGATTTCTTCCGCTGGGATCTGGTTTGTTCTCTCCCACAGTAGGTTGTTGCTAATTGTGTTCGGTCAACAGATCCGAAGTGTTTTGCGTAGGCAACTGTTGATAAACATTTATATCTTCTGGATGATGGTTTTCATAGTTCGCCAAGTTTCCACCAAATACAGTAAAACTGTCTTGACACCTGTATTGAAAATTCTGACTTTGGTGTTGGTTGACACTTGTTTTGAGTTTCAGATGTTCTTCAGTTGTAGATATGCTGATCTTGCTTTTCCGATTCGCGCCTTCACATATGCATCAGATCCACCATGTTTACCAATGATGCTGCCCAGATATGCAAAGGTTTTTATATCTCCAAAATTTTCTCCGTCAAGTGTGATTCGATTTGTGCATGCTGTGTGGTATGCCACAAAATCTACATTTCAATAGTTTTTTAAGGATTACTAATAGTATAATTAAAATACCAATTACTAAATATTGAGTCAACTTATATAATTTTGTTTCAGATCTTCTCCTGCTTTTGTAGAAGCTGTTCGCTCAATACAGCAACAACCAAGCTGTGGATTCCTAGATCTTAATTCCTTCCTATTACTTCCAATGCAACGTGTTACACGTTTACGTCTTTTATTGACTGCTATCTTACACTATGCTCCTAAAAACGGTGTTACGTATCAAAGTGGTTTGGTAGCCCTTGCGTCTATAGAAAAAGTAAGTTTAAGAATAAATACTTTACTTTTGAGAATGACGTCATGGTTAAATTTAAGTTAGAAACTATGAAATATCATAAAACTTCTAGGCCAATTAGTTTACGTATTTCAGTGTCCGTAAATATTTATAACTTCCAATTTAAAACATTTCAAGTTCTATTAAATCTTATAATACTACTTGATTTCTTGCAAAATGAGAGAATATCAAACACTAACCAAACGGTGCATCCAGATCCTCCAACTTTTTTACTGTCTGTTATCTCTCAACAAAACATATTATACAGAATTATTTGATGATAACACTACAGAATAGAATTATTTTCATTAACAAAACACTTTATATTGCTAGTTTTGCATTCCCTAAGCTTTTTTGTAATCAATGAATTTAATTATTGTTGCTTTAATTGAGGTTAAAGGTTCTAACAAATCGGTATGCTTATAAAAAGTCTCATTAGGCTCGTGCATTGACAAACAAAAACACTTAATAATTTTCTAGGGAAACTCAATTTCTCAGAGAACTGGTAAGATGAAAAGTGTCAATCTGGCTATTCGCTGATCTTTTGCAACTGTCCGACCCTAAACAATCATCTAAATGTAGAGTTACTTTATAGAATGAACAGGCTTGCTTGAACTACCGGTCTACCTGTTCCTCTCATCTAAATATTTACACAAGTTATAATTTTTTATTTTGTTTTCACACACTCTACCTACTGATCGCATAACATATTCAAACATATTTATGAAAAGTTTACGACCTATCACATTACAAGTTAAAAAAAGTACAATCAGAGACATCGTGGTGGCTGGTAATGTGTATTGAAAGGAATGAATACTGATCAGATATCAATTACTGAACTTCTAAATTCTAACTGCCAATCACTAATTAACACGGTGGACTATCTTCGGTTCCTGAATGTTTGTGACTTATATAAGCCTTCTTTGCGTCAGTCATCTTATGTCATGCTTCCTATATCTACAGGTGTGAATAATAATTGTGTTCCAATTTTCACTAAAACTGACGTCCGAAAGTGTCTCCAGTCACTTAATTCATCGCAATGTTTAGGGCCTAATGAAATTCTTAACCTCTTTTTTAAGAAATATGCTGACGTTTTGTGTTATCCATTGTCAAGTATCCTTAGCAGATCCTTTTCAACTAATCTCATACCGAAAATGTGGAGAAAGATTATGATAAATACAATTACTAAGAAAGTATCTGGCGATAAGAATGTGAAATTTAAATTCATAGTAATAACTTCATCTTTCCTCAAAACAACGAAAAAAATTATTGACACTGCCACTTCAACCTGCACTAGAAGAGCACATTGATCCGTATCAGTTTTCTTACAAATGCAAAAGAGGCACCTTAGATGATGCTGTTGTTCTGCATCATAATATAGTGTTCAGCTTGGAAAAAGATAAAAGGTTTGTTCGATGCGCCTTTCTGGACTACACTTCTGCTTTTGAATCTATTCTAAGACAACTTCTACTTAACAGGTTAATCAGCGTCAACAGTGACAGCTGGATAACCATCTGGCAATGTTTTTACCTTTATAGAAGAGAAAATCACACTGTGTTTGGAAGAAAATGTTCAACGTCACTGCTGTTTCATGAAGGTGTGCCACAAGTAGCTGTCCTGTCCTCTATTCTTTTCTCTCTTTTTGCATGATCTGCCATCTTCCACAGAGAACACTTGTTAAATATGAGGACGATCTCACTAAACGTATGCCGATTTTTACCTTTTTACATCCCTTTGAAATGAATGAGTTGTTGTCTCTTATTGAATGGTGGTCTGTTGTTAATGGTATCACACTTAATCCGTCTCAAATTCGGTCTGTTAACTTTAGCCTGAGACATGAACAGCACCCAAACACCTTGTTGGAACCCTATAAAGCTTGCATTATCTGAGACTCTTTGATAAACACTGTGTCAAAAGTCATTTATCATAGTGTAAGTTTATATTCTGACTTCTCGTGGTCTTCTCATATTTTGCGGTTATCAAAGACGCTTTACCGTCTGACATTATTATTAATAGCTTTATTCCATATTATATTATTGGTACAACGTAAAATTATCAGCAAAATGTGTTTCAACGAGTTTCTTTTACAAAAAGGAAAAAAGTGGAAAAACTTATAGCTGCATTTATATATGCGTAAACTCAATAAATAAACTACCCGGAATGAAAAGAAATAACTTTTTAAAGAAGATTTGAATCTGTACAACCTTTCCAATTAGAAACATGTTTAAGAATACAAGTTATTGACTGGGTAAACTCTAACAACCTGTTCTTCACATTGTATATTTGTTAGATGAGATATTGTAGAGCTATGTTATCTTTGCCTGCGTGCATGGATTCTAATGTATTGACGCCTCGTCTTACCAAAAGATTTGCAAGGAGAAAGATATGAATGAAGTATCAAATGTGATAACATCTGCCAGAAGTTTGCAAGATTTATAATGTCTATCTATAACCCAAAAAGATTCACCACACACCCTGTTAACTATCTTCAGCAATTTCCTCATTGCAGCAAAGTCTTTTCTCAAAAGACCAGGAAAGAATAATGGAGAACAGTAAAGAGTAGTAATGTAATATTCAAGAGTCGACCAATCGTAGGAGTAAATGTTGAGTAATCTCAAAAGCATGCAACTCATTATGAAGTATGAAAGCTCTACAATATCTCATCTAACAAATATACAATGTGAAGAACAGGTTGTTAGAGTTTACCCAGTCAATAACTTGTATTCTTAAACATGTTTCTAATTGGAAAGGTTGTACAGATTCAAATCTTCTTTAAAAAGTTATTTCTTTTCATTCCGGGTAGTTTATTTATTGAGTTTACGCATATATAAATGCAGCTATAAGTTTTTCCACTTTTTTCCTTTTTGTAAAAGAAACTCGTTGAAACACATTTTGCTGATAATTTTAAGTTGTATCAATAATATAATATAGAATAAAACCACCAATAATAATGACTATTTCAAAAGTAAAAATAATGATTCTTAAGTCTTTAAAAATACGTTCATTTACGCCATTTATACGATTAGTGACATAAATACTCGAGAGTAATTGTCCACCAAATACAAAAGTATCAGTGGGAAACTTTCTGTTCTGTAAAATAATTGAGTAATTTTAGTTGAAATCACGAACCGATCCTAGTTAAACAATTGCTGAAAGCACCGAAGAAAGTAGGAGGTAGTCAAGTAATGTCGTGGAATGATTGATGTTGAACAACCGTACCACTGGATTCCAACTTAGTAGTCTGGATGTTAGGCGTTTGTGAGCAAAACCGAAGGTATTTGGTCGAATTCTCGCTGGTAACGCCGTGGATGCACATTAGTGAGAAGTCCCATAGTAGAACAAAATGGTTATCTAGTACTTCCACGAATTTAATAGTTATCTAACTCAGGTTGGTTTGTAATACCACTCAAATCTAACAATGATTGTTTATCAACGAGAAACTTATCCACGCTAAATTGGTTGTGTGTAAGTCAACGATCAGTTTCCACATCACTCAGAAGTTTTAAATTATATATGATCAGTATTTAAGATCATGGAATGATAATCATAACAGTTCACTGACAAATACATTATTATTCTTATTTCGAACTCGAAAGTCAAGATTATACTTCTCAAGTATACTTGAAAACAGTATTTCATATAGATGATCTGTTAAACAGTAAGAAAAGAAGCTTCTATGATCTTCATCTATGATAGTGATGTAGGTATCCAAATTGATTATTTCAAAAATAATTTCTATATTTTTAAGTTACATATGCAATTTTACTGTTTCTAGTTTGATTGATTCGCAAAATTACTCATAAATCAGTACTTTTACATTGTGTTTTGAAAATAACAAGGTTAAATTTTTCGTTTAAATTACAGCCTAAACAGTTAAACATTGAATCCTACCAAAAATGGCAACAAAGCATATTTTATATTACCTTTTTTGATAATATTGTATTTGACTTCAATAAAAAAACTTTGTTAGTAGTTTTATTTTGATAAGTAATGTGATAAATATTTTCTGTTAGAAAAGTTATACGAATACCAAATCGATAATTAAAAAACATAATATATTCTATGTGTCACATTGTTATTGATATAAAATATTTTAGAAAAGAAACGCATTTAATTGTAGTAAAATCAAATAATCTTATTACTGGTATCTAACTTTAAAATAGGTACTGATTATTTCGAACAATCAGCTAACTGAAATAATACAATAGTATATCATTGAAATTTACTATTCATTGTATGATTGTCATTCAGTTAGAAAAAAACAAAGTTCCTAATGAATTTACGAAGACTGTTAATGTTGAATTTCGTAACTGATCACCATATACGACAAAATATGTCAAGAAGCTACACCGCCAAAGTTTCGAAAAAGTTTGACTAAATACCAAAACTATTATGCACGTCATTGATTGATCTACCTTCAACAAGTTATGTGACTTGTCACAAATACTTGTCAGTATGCAAGATGCTTAGACACAACAGAGATTGAAAAATACCTTAAAATGATTGAAATAAAAAAAGAATTTTAGTTGAATGGTGAAATGATCAGTGCTATAGATATAACTTTTAACGGCGGTCAATCACGAAACCTTTATAGAACTTTATAGGTTGGCTCATTTTAAAATGTGCTCACGAAAAGTAATCTGTTCTAAACTGTAAATCAAATAACCAAGCATACCTTTAAAATATTTCAATTGACTGTTAGATTAATGGAATAATTAAACAAAATAATTTCAACATAAAACATTTTTGCTTTAATCTTCTTTTGTTAATTACCTAAGTATTCTGTGGTTTTCTAAGAAATTTAACATTTTATTTTTACTCATAGCTTATAAGTAAATGTGATTCAGAAAAAGCTCGTATGGAACAAAAAGAACGTCTTGTAGAAATTTGTAGAAGATTAGAATACAAATATGATGCAAAGGTAAATTCTATTTATTAATCAAACGAATTAAATTATATATTGTGAATCTTTCTTGTTTTCAAAATAAAACAAAAAATATAAGAAAATAATTTAAATCCTTAAAAAATAATATCCTAGTCTTAAAGAATAAATTAATCTAAATAAAAAGATTTCTAATGGATTATTAAAAACGTTATGTGAGTTCCTCCTGCCCGTAATATCTTGTATACATCAGGACGCGATATGTAAATATTCATGAAATAACTATTATTCTGATATTTTTTTATTTATTTGAACAATATCAATCTTGTTTCTTTTGTTTATTTCTGCTCATTCCTAGTAATATGTTTTACCTCTGTAACTGATATGTAGTATGTTTGATTAATAACAATCCAATAAAACCACACATCCACGTCCATACCATCTTTCTATGTTTGTACATTGAGTTGAATCCAAAAAATCTCAACTTAAATATACTTTGGAATTTTTGACAATCCATGCGTTACGTGTACAAGACATGAGCAAAGAACCCAACCCATGTGATAATGAAAATTCGTTGATATTGTTCACTTGTCATTATGTTTTCTTACAGGTTGTACTATCACAGATGACTTTTAAATCTACAGTTTCTTCGAAGACTGATAGCGGTATCTTTATCTTGTTTAAAATGTTATCACATTTTTGTTTAGCAATCATTTCCATGTGTCATATATACCAGATACCTTAAAACCTCAACATTCATTTCTTTGGAATAAAATTCATATTTTATTTGAAATAAACACACCCCGATTTCTTTACACCACTTGATCAAATTTATTGGTTTTATCCATTTTACATCTGCATCTCAATTATTGTAATTTTATTTAAATTTTATGTATGCCTACTCGTAATAAAACAGTCTTTGGCTACGGAAAGTCGGACACTTGTAAAAGAAGGTGATCTACGTCTTTTAACAATGACCAATGTACAGGGTAGCGGATTCCACCGTCGTTTCAGCAGTATTCGTAAACCCAAGGCAACAATAGCAACTCTATTTCTATTTAGTGATTACTTATTAATTACCAAAAAGCGAAGGTAATGTGTACTTTTAGATCTCCGTTTTATGTATGTTTCAACTCTTATTGTCCTCAACCAATATTGTGTCACAATAATTCTTTGAGAAGATTCACTACCACTTTATAATTTTGTCAAAATAATGATCGAACACTGTGATATAAGTCAACATCTATGTTTAGTACATCAATAGACTACATGAAACATCCCAAAAGGTTATCAGGTTTTAATATTTTATAGTTGCAAATCAACTTGAATTATTGTATTAAAAGGATGTAATCCTGTTTGATGTGGTTTCATATTTTATGTTTTAACCAGTCTCTAATATAATTAGAATGAAGAGATAATCAAGTATTAACTGAAGTGGCTGGTATCAATAACAACTACCCTGGTCCCTTTGAAGGACCGCAATATGTATTCCTAAGAACGACACTAAATTGATTATAGCTAGGCTTTTTAATTTAAAATCTTTATAGCAATGAATTCCATTCTAGGGAGAACCAAAATGTACTCAGAAAACCCTCATCAAATGTAAAGATTTTATAACTATCTCTGTAAGTACTTGAACGGGAAACGACTTATTATTTAAACTCATGTAACTCAAATGACATTTTGAGATGGAATCATTAATGTACAGGCGCATATATCACTTACTAAATAAAAATGACTAATTATTTGTTGTAGTCCTCCTATTTAACTTTCTGAATTTATTGAGTAGTTTCACTACAAGCACTTGCTATCATCTTTTAATTTTTTTATTATAGAATAAATAACATTAAATTCTTTATTAAACATTCACAAACAAAGTTATTGAAATTTAATGATTCTGAATTTCTATGCTGTATTAAATCGAAATTTTTTGTATGATAAAATTAATAATCCCTATTTTGCCAAGAAACAGATATTTCGCAAAAATACTTATTTGTTGACTTCATTTTCAAAATCTGTACAGTTGTATTCATATAAAATAACTAATGTGATGAACAAGTTGCTTGCACTGTACATTTGTATAATGTACGAAATTCGGAGAAAACATTCTTATTAGTAGGTGGATTAGTTTATAAAGAAATCATTAGACGGCCTAGAAATTACAACTTATATAATAGAGTAAATGTCAACACACGAGTATATGATGCGAGATTATGGTGTAATTATTCAAGTAGATAGGTAAAAATCATTGTAATTAACTGTGGTTATATAATCCCTCGAATCAAATTAAATTAAATGAATTCAACTGGGAAATGTCCGCATTTAATAAACTAAGGGGGATGAGATTACATTTGAATTATAGATAAAAAGAAGAAAATGCAAAAACGAAACCAATCTTATGAAGGAAAAAAGTAAACTTATAATAAACGCTACCATTGACAATGCTTCCATAGAAAAATATCTGACTCTGATTTAAGTATTCATGTAGTAGTTTTCATAAAAATGAGGTATATGGATCCGAGTTCACCAGATTAGGTTTAGTCTTCTACATAAGACGTTACGAAGAGTTCGCTACTACGCAGTTATTGTCAACTCCATGTGGTGTAAAATAGATGGTTTGGTTATTTTCATTTATCCTTTAGTGAGTCATCATAAGAACCACTCTCAATGAACTTAATATATACTTCCATAACGAAAATGTATGGTTTATATATATTTCACACAAAAGACAGTTATCTACTCCTTTCATTTCCATTTATCTTCAAATATGAAGAAACTAATCTTACACTGAACATTAGGAAATAAACTTACAAACATTCTAGTATCAGTTCTTTAGTTCCTTTAAAACAAGAATGTAATTTAATTGACTCATTTTTTTTATCTTTCATTTTTGATCAAAAATGGTCTTAAACATGTTTCTAAAATACCAGTTTCTGATACATCATTGTTTATTTTAAGCAATGGCGTTGTCATTAACATCCTTATGATATGATCTAATAAAAGTCAGGAGAAATTCAGTTGCTTTTGTAATCGTCACGTTTAATTTATTTTAAATCACCAAAACTTTATAAGTATTTTTCTAGATTTTAATTTACAAATCTCTTTCATGTAGTTTAGCTACTAAATTCAGATGCTTAACCTCCTGCTAATCTTTTCTTCATTCAAGTAATCAGCATTTGTTGGTTGAAGATAGTTGCTCGTTGAACTATATTCACGTGGAGGCCCAAAATGCCTTACGGAATTGTTTCATACATCATTTCTGCCGATCTGGGGATCCCAAATTAAGTGCACAATTAGGACATGTGACTTATGTAAAAACGTTGAGTCTTCCTAAGCAAACTGCTACTGAAAAAGGCAACGTAAACAATCAAAAACCACGAAAATTTTCTACAGATACAAATAATGCAGATGTTGGGCTCAATGTATTTTCGTTTCTTCTAGTAATAGAAGGCCCTGATCATCCACGTGTTCAGTACGTGTTCCAAGCAGAAACACTGTAAGTATAACCACTTTTAAAAATATTACTGAATTTTATAAAGATTACAAACTTATCTAAGTCAAAACCAATGAAAAAGTAAGAGTACTAGATAACCGACTCGTCCATTTATGGGACTCCCCACCAGTGCACATCCACGACCCCACCACCGAAGACCGAACTCAAAACCTTCGTTCTGGTCTACAAACGCCTAACCTCTAGACCACTTGGCCGAGATCCAATAACTTCTGAGAACGAAGGTCTTAGGTTTAACCCTTGGTGGCAGGTTCATGAATGCGCAGTTGTGAGAATTTTCATACTAGAAAGAAAAAACTGTCTAGTGTTTGCAGGTTTCTGATGGTTGTCTAAATTAAATCGGTTTCTGATCTTCACAGTCGCTTTCGTTTTATTTATACATTTACCACAATAAAATGAAGTATCGTGTTTTAAGCTTACCAACATAAATAAAATAGTATTCATTTTCATATAAGTTTCACCCCTATATACTTGCATTTCATCTTTAATACGCACTTGTTGTTTATGTTATCAAGTACATTCAAGTTAAGAACAGTTCAGTAAAGCTAAGGACTTCGAGCTTAAACTACTTCATAACGCTAAGTACTTGGTCACAACTGCTTCGAATTGTCGAGCATTTCTTTGTAACTTATACTAACCAACTAATTATAAGTGAACATAATTTTCTCATATATAATTTGTAGGATTGGTTTTATCTATTATTATTACTTAAACCATATATAGAGACAACTATCTAACCGTAAGTTATTGTTCAAACGGTCACAAGATTGATTTCATGCTTTATCTTTTCCAAAACGTACAAATAATACACTCGACGTGATAACTATGTATAAATACTGGCTCAATATAAACAAAAACATGCGTTGACCAATATTAGTTTGAGATATATAATAAGTCGTATTCATCACAGAAACTGAAAGTTAAATAGTACTCCCTTATCGATGTTCATCTAATGCATACAGGTAAATAGCAGTAAATTCCAATGATGTTTTCGTTTCCGTGAACTTTGCGTTATACTTCAGGAACTCATTGAGTGCCTTCAACGCAATGAGTTGATCACAGGATTTTAATCTCTGAAAAATTCCCATAATTTTGTTTTAATATAGTGAGAATTTTCCAGAGATTAAAATAGGAGTAAATAAATTAAGGCAATACCAACATAAATGGATCTGTTTTTAAAGATGGAAAAAATAAAATCATGATCAAAAATTGCCATACAATTAAAAAAACATTGTAAAATCGTCTTGCTTACTTTTGGGACACAGTTTTTGTGTGACAAGTGTTTAATAGAGATGACTTCCTCATAAAAAAGCAGAAATTTTTTGGTTTATGCACGTATTATTTGTAAAGTTTAATATTTCAATCTTGCATCCTCTACCTGATATTTGCCTTTTAATTATACATGAAAATATCTTCACTCTTATACAGAACCGCCTGACTGAATTTTTGTAAAATTCGGTAAAAAAATATTAACTAAGTCTTTTCTAAATACTAGATTCTTCCAATTACATGAACTTATTAAATCCAGATCTCAGTTAAACTCACAAAATCTTTTATTGTCTTTCATTGATTTAATGATCAACCACTGTGGTATGCTTTCACTAGCCAAGGTACTGAGAAGGTTAATTATAGCAAGCTTTTGTTCACTTTTCAGTTTACTATATTTCACCCCTTTTCCAGAACAAAAGAATAAATTTATCTGAACGATTAGTTTTGCAATGTTTTGTTCACCATATGTAATTATGTTTCTTAGAATATCTAACATTTATGAATAAATAAAACTGATAAAACCATGTTGATAATACCGCCACTGAACTGATTCGACTAGACCCAGGAGAGAAGATAAAATCAATAGATGAAAATTTATTTGAATGAGAGTTTGTGGTGGTTGTAGTGACTTTAATGGATTTTAATCAACTCATAAATTCAACTATGAAAATTTACTCGACATATAAAGTCTGGACACACTGATTTGTATGTTTTATTTACATTGATTAATATCCAGATTTTGAATACAGAAAAATGAATATCATTTAGCACTGACTAATTAATAACGTACTGTATAAATATAATTTACATTACCATAAGATTAAACTGTTACAACCAATAAATTCAATTAATTTAGTGAGTTGTGTACTTATTCCTTTGTTTCCATATCGTACTTACTCCTCTAAAAAAATCTTGACTCCATTTTGCTTCTGGCTGAAGAACCAAGAATGTTGGCAGTTCGAGTATTTCTCATTCCACTTAGTTTTTTATAATTATTCTGACTATACCATCTTTTGATCGTCGTAGTTTTAGACTGTTTATCCTTGATGAAAACCTACTGTTATGAACTTGAATCGCTTTTACCCCGTCGATACTTTGTTATGACTTGACCTTGATCAGTCTAGTCTAGATTATGACCTTTGCGCAATAGGCTGAGCGGTTTAACCTTGAGTCTGGTACGCGTGAGTTCGAGATGGGGTAGAGAGAAAGCTATTCTAGAACCTGGTAAGCACGCAAATGAGAGAAGACAAAACAGTTGGAACACTCTGAATTCTGAATTCGGATTAGTGCAAAAATGTACATGAATAAATATGTGAATATCCTGACCACAACGTACGACAATTTGGGAAAATACAATTATGTCCAAAACTGGGAATTAGGGTAGAAAATAAGGTGCAAAATATTATGTTTAAATTACAATAGTTTCGGAACAAAAAAAGGTATGGCAGTGAATGATACATCGAACGAAAGCTCATGTTCTGTAGAATAAGATAGGGACAAAAATAAATATAAGTTTTTTACAAGGTTTGAATAAAATGAAATAACGTCCCAAGAAATAGCTTACGTAGTTTGTCTGGGCTTCTTATTTCCCCGTCCACAACACCTACGAAAGAAAATGATTTTATTTTGTCGTGCAAACCCTATTCTTGTTTTGCTCAACAAATTGTTGTTTTATCACCCAATTAATTCAAAATCAGTGTGTCTAGAATTTGATTTAATCAAATTTAAGTACAGTTGAATAATAGTGACAAAAAGTTGGTTGTTAAAACCGGCATTTTTGTTTTGTTTTTTTATCTCATGATTTCTGGATAGGAATCTTCATCGACTTTTGAATTTCAAGGTCATCGTAATGCATCCGAACAACTTAGTAAACTATTGTGGGTTGAAGTATATTAAAGCTTCAGGTCAAAATGACGCATTGCTATTGTGACAGGGATCGATAAATTAGTCTTACGAATACGTATGCAGTTTCAGTACACAGCATTACATACTACAAAACATGCTGAGAATATCTTATATCTTATACTAATAATATAATTTAGTTTTGTTTCAAGCTATTCACCTTTTTATCAAGGAAATCAGTTTATAATTTGGTTAACAGGCCCTGAAAACATGTAGAACAATCCTCTTTCCAATTTATCATCATCATCACCATCATAAGCATAACTAATGGATAATTACTTTAGTGTACTATATACTATGTTCTCAGAAATTACTACATTGATATGTTGATGGATATTCGGATAGTAATAACTGCAACAATGAATCCATAGTGTAATAAATGGGAAACAATGAAAAGAAATTATAAAACATAACTACTTTCAAATGTTAATTATTTCGTTGTTCGTTTTGAACAATTACTTATCTGTATCCAATAATTACGTGTGATGAAAAACTTTTACTCATATTCAAATGGCAAACATATCCAAATAGATCAGCAAGATTTAATCTTCTTCAGTAACAGAAATGAAATCTTTTTTTGTCCTAACCATTACTCATAAAACTTCTTAATTTTTGTCGTTTTCAGTATAATGGATAGTAGCTATCTTTTGACATTGTTATTTCCTAATAATCTCATTTCTTTCCAAACTTCTGGTTCGACTAGCAAGTTATTCGATATCAGTTTAAACAGCATCGTCTACGGGACTCATCATTCAATACTAGAACACTGTGAAATATATTTCTTAGCTTCAAGACTTTAAAACAAACAGTGTGAAGTCTAGAACCAAAATTTACGCCATAAGAATATTTTGTGATATCCATACATAGTGATGAGAGTAGATGAATACAAATAAGTTGAGTCTCAATGAGTTGTTTTATAACCATAGCTAAATTTGTATTTCTACAACGGGCCCTTCCAATTTTAAAAGGCCATCGTAACAAATGATCTTACTATCTGCATGCATGAATTTCCTGTTTTCACTCATTATAACATAATCAGTTTCCACCTTCTGAATTTCCAATTTGACATGTTCGGATAATCAACGACAAAAATATGTTTTTCAATACAGAAATCTGTTAATTATCCATAAAACATTCATTTATAAAGGTTTACGTGAGGAAAAAAGTACATGGCTAAATGTCTCACCATAAATCTTTTACGTTTTCTAAGATAAATTCCTTTCTGTTATTCAGAAGAAAGTGCAATAATCCACCTTTATTCCAAATGGTTTATTTAAATTATGTATCTAATGTTTTAATATATTTTCAGAATGTCAATAATATTATGTTCTTTAATCTGGATTTTAGCGGAAAACCTCTCATTATTTCCCTAGACAACATCATCAGTATAAATTCTCTTCTATATAAACTATCTTGAAGAATTAAACTTGTTATTCTTTTAGAACAGGTGACAAGATGAAGTAACTTCTATTATTTTTCTTTGTTTATCATTTTGTGATTTTTACTCAGTTCGAAAAGAGAACGATGGTTGGATGGTCTTTCATGTGGTCGTCATGGTATCCCCGAAAATCTAGGTTCGGACATCTGCGGTAAGTAATACTACAGCAAGATTTATTCAGGGATAAAGCATCACATAGTGTAGATGAAAGTATAATAATTCCACCTTACTTACTTACTTACGCTTGTTACTCCCAGTGCAGCATAGGCCGCCGACCAGCATTCTCCAACTCAAATTCCACTTTATTGATATGTATATACAGGAGGAATATGTTTGATGAGGATTAAAAGGAAATGAAAAAGCTTGTTTGTTAACTACCCTGTGATTAAGTTAGAATACATGATCATTTAGTCAAGAATTCATGTTGCAGCATGAGTTGTAATGTTGCATTATGTTACATTATGATTACTGTAGTGTGCAGGCAGTAAATTATTTTCTATAATCGACCACAGTTTAATTATATATGGACTTGGTGATGCTACTAGTTTGCAGAGTGGATATTCGTGAGGATAAAATATGTTGAATCAGTAGACCAAATAAGATCATGAATATCCAGCTTTATAACAAGTTTCGTTGCTTCGACTAGGTACTTTTATAACAATTTTTACTTGATTCGTTACGGATAATCAACCGAGCTGTTTTGTCTGTAATCGGATATTATGTTATTAAAGTCGTTGATCTCAGTGAAACTTAAGGAAATTAAACGAAGAAAAACTACATAAGAGTTTTGAAGTTTAAACGATGGTTGATAAAACATACAACTTCATTGAAGTTAGTAAGTTGTTAACCAGCTGGTATTCTCACATTTTTGGCTTAATAGGCACCTGATAACAAATTAAATCAGCTTTCGATACAAAAGATATTTCTATATAGAATACCGATAAATAGGTATGATTAATAAATTTTTATCCCCTGAGTTTGAAAAAACAACTTTTACAAACCACACGAACATCATCTTATCTTTGTGGATCATTTTAATGCAATGTTCAATAAATGGAATTCGGTATGAACATGTATCATCCTAGAATTTATGATTTCTGTATTAGTAAATTCTTTCTGAGTATCTTCAGCTTGCATTATGACATTCCCATATGATATATATTCCTGTAAAAGCACTTTTCTTCTAGACACCGGTACTTGATTTTTTGTTACATAGAATGACTGAAATATTGTTAAAGTCAAAATCTCCGATACATTGTAAACAGAGTATTACAAAACATTAAATTTTCGTTTAATCTCCATTGAAAAGTATTCAGTTGGCCACCTGTTCCATTAATTACTTACAACAGCTAGTGAAAACGAATTCTAAAACATTATTTCTGAATTCACTTGGTGTTATTTACTTTTATCTTCCCATTGTTATTTTGGACTGCAATTGATCAGTCTCTTGTTGGCATACGTGCATCCTGTGAGGAACGCCTCGATATTGTCTGGGCACTGGATTCGAGTCCCAGAGCGAACATCAACTATGAGATGCAGATACGTCCAGCTGATAAGTCCTAAATGGGACGAAACGTGCGTCCTGGATTCCACTGATGGCCACTATCCATCTTTGCTTATAAAACTATTTCTGAAGCTGAATATACAGTGATATCACTAACCCACTCTGAAAAGTGTGGTTGTAAATGCCCACTTTGACACTCAAAATGATACAGAGACCATTAGAGTACTTACTTTCCGGACTTTCTTAACTAGGTATAACGTAACACACTAGAATCCTTCTAACTCACATAAAGTCAAAACTAAACTATTAAATCGGTCTAACACGATGACGTCGTTACATGAAGTAGCCCCCATCTGATGTTTGTTATTAAAGCTCTCAATTATTTAATGTAAAGTATGGTACTTTGTAGTAGTTTAACGGGGAATTAAATAATGCTTATGTTGTTTAAACATATGATAGCTCGCTAGCTGTTCCCACTAACAACCTACACCTAACTTGTATATAGTAGTGTCAGGTGATAATATGTGAGTCATACATTAACTAAAGTAACCCTCACAATTATTAGAGTGTTTAAACAAACAAAACGTATACTAACATTTATGAATTAGTGATATAGATGATACAACGATGTCGTAGACTGTTTCATGATAGTTTATGAATATAAATGGTAATTCGGACCTTTACAATAGTATTCCATAGGGCACTGAAAACTAGAAAACCTTGCAGTCTAGTGTATAGCTTTATATACCAAAATAACTGAAAAAAGGAAATTTAGAAAATAAGAGTTAACTATAACGAGAGTTATCACAATGGCAATCATACAGAATATCATTTACTTCTAAGAAGGCATTTTACATATGCTAAGGGAAGCTACTATTCTTCTTGTTGAGTGCTTTTTGGGTTTAAAGTCGACAAAAATACGAATAGTTATACTATAGTCAATCGATTCACAATGTATCTGGGTTTCATTTTTAGGTCAACATAAATCCATGAAATAAACAACATATGAAGACGTCAGTGAATTAACCTGTAGGCTATTTGACATTTGACGCATTATCTATAATCAAAAAATCTTGATTACCGTTTCATCAGAAACATCAGTGAAGTAATATTACAACAAACATACTGAAAGCCTCGAGTTGTAAACTGCAAAAAGACAACAAAGTCTGATGATACGAGATCATTGAAACAATAGATAAAATTCAATGAAAATCCAATTGATAATTACTGACTAAATGTCCGATGAATAATTCAAATACACATCTTAAACTTTAGTGTTAATATCATAAAAATATAACATACTTTGATTATAATATATAATGAATAAGCAATATTTTGTATATGATCATAATGAAAATCAACTTTTAGAGGTCAAATATTACTTTAATCATCACTGATAATAGTTGTGCTGATATATTGGATGGTTAGTTTTTGGAATGTTTACGGAATAAATAATAATACAATTTAGAAACACAAATCATTTACAATTTGGAATTCAGTTAACCATATGAATTGTTCGTAAATACTATACTCTTATTTCTACTTTTTTTATCTTATTACGCAGAATGTCCTCAAGTACTCATCACTAAATCTTATTCTGCTATTGAATGTGATGAACTAGAATTAAAAGAGGGAGATCAAGTTAATGTGCTTGTCAGCTTATCAGATGGTATCCTTCAATTATTTTTACTTTATTTATATGACTACTTTTTTAAATATTTTTAATTACCATTCACCAAAGCTGGTTTCTAATTATCTGTCGGAAATGATAATATATGCTGAAGTTAAAATATAGTCGATTTTTTCTTGTGCAGTCATTTGTTGTCACAGCACTCTAGACATTGCCTTATGTATTTATGGTCAGACTATGCGAATTAAATACCATACTATGCATGAACTTGAGGTTAGATTCATGTCCCAGCAATTTACAAATAAATAAATAAATTGACATGGTTTATCGTCCTGTAGTTTGTCTTATTTCACCTTCAAAAGATAGCATCTGTTAGCAATTTATAAGACGTCAGTAGAAAGTTAAACCTCTAAATTCATCAACACCATGCACCCATTGATTGATAACTCCGAAGCTTTTTGCTACTTTCACAGAGAAAGCCTCGTATTCTCGGTTACTTAGAGATATTGGTCAAGGTCTTATTGTAATGGATGAGAATACATGTGGGGATAACCAGTTGTGTCTTAATATAAAATTACAAAGTTACTTGGTCAAATGTGAGAACCATACAATCAGCACTTTATTTGCAAATACTCCATCAATTGTTTCAAACTTCGTCGTTCCATCAATGACATAACAATTACTCTGTTCCCGTCCTCTTCCATTCGATCTTCCAAACATCCTGCTGCCAGGCATTCCACTTCTGATTGCTGTTATATACTACTTATGTCGACACATGTATCATACATCGAAGCTGAATGTTTCAGAAAACATTTTACTGTTTCTTAATTGATTAGCCACTGAGATTCAGCTGATCAGCCTCAGTCTACGAACACTCAGTATTGATTCAAACCACCGAATCAAAAATATAACGGTCCACATTTCCGAGCATACAACTTGGGTTATTGGTGATATTTATCTCACTAGCGATTTGATTCTCTATCAATGATTTTGAAATAAGAACTCCGTAAATCAGCATAAACAACTGCTTCCCGTGAGAAAAATATATTAATTAGTATAAACTGCATCGAAATTGATTGATAAATTTAAAGTGGTGGAACAAACAGTGTTTGTGAAATTGAAGCCACACGTTAAGTATTTGAAGGTAGTCGATAGTAAATCCTTGATCCAGCTTTCGTCCTACATGCTGTCCATCAGAAAAGCGCACCTATAGTCTTGAGGGGGCCAGTGTTCCCTACGGATCCTTATCCCGTACCATCAAACCTGACAGTCAGAGACTATATCAGTGAGCTGTTCGAAGAGCGTCTGGCCTTTTATAGGACTGAGTTGTTTACAGTTGATTGATCTCTATGTAGAAATCAATATCACGTATGTCCAGTCCTTAAAGTACTGATGGAAATCTATCGATAAACATATTTGCGACAATGTAAGTTGACCTATTCACCTACCAGCGTAATTCATGCTAAACTTGGTCTTTACACTTGCATTTACGTTGACAAGGATTCCTGAACATAACCTTGATATAAAACGCTATGGGATAATTATAATAGACAACTTTTAAGGTTAATACATTTATTCCAAAAAGTATTAACTAATTATCTGAATTTGTTCGAAAGTCATTAAGTGCATTCATGTTTCAAATTTTTCACTGGTTTTTAAAAACCTTTTATTATAACACACGTACTTCTAAGGATCACCAAAACTTACACGATTTTATTCACAGAAATATGGTCCTGATACCCACTGCTTGATATTATACCAGGAAATTCAGCACCTCCTATAAAAACTGTAACCGAAATTAATCTTATAAATGGGTAAACTCATTACTGAATTAGAGGGGAAAATATTTTATTGTAATTATTTATATAATAATATAGGATAGTAGTAAGTGTTTGTATTACCTTGTTGCTGGTGGTTAACTGGACTCAGTGATTTAGTGCAGAACGCATATGACTTGGAATTGATTTACACTGAGTCCTAGTCTCGGTGTAAATAGCCCTGTTATGTCCAGCTAAAAAAATTACAGATAGGAAGGGACATGCATTCAATATTCCACTGCTAGCCACAATCCCAAAAATATTAATGGTGTAAGAGATCGATACACATTTAGCATTAAAGTTGCTGCAAAGATCATTAAATCTTAGTCAATAATTTTCTCTAAAAGAATATGTGTTAAATATCATAACTTTATGCAAAAAGTAGTATCAAAAAGAAATCGCTTTTCAAAATAGCTCAAAATATTTTTATTTTACAGGAATAGTGATGCTTAAAAGTACATGTTAAATACATTTGACTGGATTCTCTAAATTTATTTATCTGATGTCTTCAGAAGAGAACAAGAATAACATAAAACTAATCATTACACCGTTTTTTAAATCCCTTATAGGCTGGCTAAAAGGAGCATTACCTGACGGTAGACGTGGATGGTTTCCAAGTCATATTTGTACTGAAGTCAAAGACTCATCAATGAAACGTGAAAATATGAAAAATTTTATGCTTATGGAAGAAGCTAAAGCAGCCTACAGCGTGAGAAAAAGCCGTGAAACATTTGATGGTTTTCCTAAAATGAAAGATATTCAAAATAGTAATCGAGACTTAGGAAAAATTAGACCAAGATAATACAACATATATAAAGAACGATGATGAACTACTTAGCTAGTAAACGAAATTATGTTTTTATTTTACTCTTTTCTCTCTTTTCATAACCTTTCTTTTCTCATACTGAATGACCAAGATGGAATACTAGACGAAGTGTTGCCCAGCAATAATCCTAGGGAAATCATAATCTTACTTGCTTTTTATTTTTAAATAAACGATAACAAATAACAATCGCTGTTCACCATTTACTTCTTAATGAATATAGCACTCAAAGAGTATAACAAATATGACCATCTTTAAACTTGTAAAGTTTCTGTTAATTTTAAATATTTAAATGTGGAACTTTTTCAAAATATTCCAACTGAATCAAATCCATTATCAGCAATAGGACTTTAATTATGTACAAACTTTCAGTTTTTAAACTTTACGATTTTGATAGGTCATTGAAACTGTTTTACTAGTAACCGAGAATCCCCTCACACTAATCTTATTGATGAATTATAGTAATTCTTTTTACGAGTAACTACTATTTGTTCAGAATTCTTAAAAATAACGATATGAAAATATTCATAATCCTATAATAATTTGGATAGTAAGTAATAAATAAGGATTTACAACCAGGATAGTAAGTAATAAAAGGTTTACAAGTGTTTGTGTACAAAACAAACAGCTTCAACGTTTACAATCACCGTGACCATATGCCGGTCTTTGTGATATCATTTCATATTACGTGACTAAACTTTATTCGTACGCGTATATGATAAACAAGCCTCACGCCATGTTAACAAATTGACTGTTACTGTATAAACACTTATCAGGTCTATTTTACCTCTATAATACTAAGTTAGAATCTATTCTTACTTGAAAAGCTTAACACTTTCTATGTACGCGATGGAATTGATTACTTTTATTCTCATGACACTTAAGAAATTATGCAAATCCATATACGGATAAGCGCGTACACTGATAAACTGATGTTTAAATCAAACAACAAGCATAGAAGACAGTGAGACAGTTAATATCTGCCAGTCAATTAAGGTTTCAGTCATAAACCTTGACATATACCTAGCTTTTGATACTTTTAATGACCAATAATGACTGAACTACGTTTTTCCTTATATATTCCTATAATATAATTTTGATTGTTCTGTGTATTTACTAGTTTATTCTCATTAAAATTATACGGCCAACTGTAAATTAATTTGAAATTGTTCAGAACAAAACCACAAACAAAGGATGCTGAGTTATTCATATAGCTACTTTTAGTTATTTCCAAAGCAGCACCAGGTTTGAAACTCATTGACGAAGATGTAACACGTTCCTTACAACAACCAAACATTTAAATTCAGTTCAAAATCTTATAGTCAGATTGCATGCCTTTACTATAAATGTGTATCATCATCAAATTCCAGTTCTCACAACAGATTGGATTAAGAAAACGCTCCTTTTACAGCAGTGCGTAGTTTTTCGTATGCATACATATAAACAAGCTCTAAGATGTAAAGCACTACACACATATTCTCTACACATGGGATGTGACGAGAATCTTAAACTATGATGTTTGTCTTTTATTATTTCCATAAGCTCCGATTTTAATGAATCTATATATCTGAATCAAGTACTTTGTATCCTAGTTAGAAAGCAATTGCATTTGAATCGAACTAAAAATGTTTGCATATTATTCTTACGAACAACGTTATGATGGGCGGTGTCTTCGCGCTAATCGCCAGAACTGACTACTTGAGCGAGAAGACAAGAGCGTAAGAAAAAGCCTACTGGGCTACTGAATAACATGCATAAACACTCATTTATTTAGATACATTGCTACCCCTTAGAAAATCAATTAATTTCCTAGCCAATCATATTCATTTGCCCTTCAAGTCATTTCAGAGTGTTATTGAGGACCTAATTTGGTTACTTCTGTTTTGTTCAATACATCAGATAATTACTACCGTAAATGGAGATCGAATTATTGAATTTATCTACGCGATAATTCGAATATGTGTATCGTTTACGGTGGGATTACATAAATTATCTCTAGTGGCATTTTCAGCATTCACAGAATGATGAATAAGTTCAAAGTAACCGGTGAGACATACTGTCGACTCACTCTACTCCTTGGAGTATTTACTTAGTATGTTCTACAACAAGTATTAAATATGCAAAAGCTAATCAGAAACAATAATTTCTACATTATTTTTGACGAGGATGACATAATCCTTATTATCCATAGGTATCTATATCCATGTTCTATGTACGTTTGTGCATACATTACGCCTTCAATGTTAAGTCATAAAAACTGGAATACTATAGACACCTTAAGCGCGATTCAAGTAAATATCTTAAAGAATATTAACTCTAAATCATTTATACTCAGCTACATTTTATAAAAACTCGATGAGCAAAAGATCGAAATCCACTGAAGAAACAAGATTATTGACATTAACCGGTAATAACATCGATTAAACCGGTACATGGGAATAGTAATTATAATAAAGCTAGAAGTAAACTTAATACATGATTCCTTAGGAAATGACAAGTGGAAGCTTGAAATGCAAGAAAAAGAAAAAGAGAAAAATAAAGAGAAAATTAACAGCACAGCAAAATTACTGTTGTTAATAATAACTTGTGACAACGATTTTTAAATCGATTCATAACAATTATTATAATGACTAGTAGTTAGTCATCGAAAATAAATAAAAGCACCTGTAAACTTCAAAAGATGAACGTACATAAAGCAGCTCCATAAAACACAAAGCAAAAACAAAAAAATCAAATGCAATACAAACAATAATGTTAGACTGACCAAAAACAATAACTTGTGTGAAAAGCAAACGAATTCTGAACTTCATATAAATGCAAAAATTGACGAATGGATAAAACTGGATCGAGCAATGTAATCAGCATATTGGTCAATACCGGTGCATATTTAGAAATGCAAACCGAAATTGGGTTAAAAAAGCAAATGAGATGGATGAGATCACATTCCCTGAACATTGTAGAAGTCCATTAAAAAGTCATACTGCATTATCAGTTCGTAAGACAAATCTACCTGCTTCCAAGGGTTCTAATATTTCTTCGATAAGATAGATAAGCGGTAGGCGTCTAACAGTACAAAGCAACGACAGCTCATTTCCACGACGAAGCTGAAATATGGCACCATCCGCTAAACTACGAGACAGAGCCCGATCAGCCACAATACTCCATACCTGCTGTCCTCCTGGATGCACTAATTTAGGAAGTAGAGGATATGGATCTAGATTGTCTGAAGTGTTAACTTGCTTGATATTCTGTTGATACTTGGCTCTCTTCACCGTTGCAATGGCTGCTGCAGCTGCGGCTGCGTCTTGTTGTGGTGTAGCAGCCGAAGGATTAAATCTTTCCAAGAAAGCGTGAGGTGACAGGCCATAAGCTAAGCAAAGAGCAAGATGATCAATTACCATATCCACAGGGTGACGAGCTTGTTGACGTGTAACACGCATATACTTTTGTAACGGCCTGATGAGAGTTGGGAAAACAGCTTGTGCTGCTTCATACGGATCCAAAGATTTTCCTGGAGAGCAAGTAAGCTTTGACATCCTCCCATTACCTATAATCAAATTATAAACGCAATGTAGTGCTAAGAAATAATCACATAAAAATAATTGTAACAAACGATGTTATACAAACTAATTCGCGCGATTTGTAAAGGCTGATAAATGCAACACATGAACTGTAACAAATGAAATGCTTTCGGGCAAATGAAAGGTCTAGGTATAAAGATAGATTACCATGTTAACAATACTTCAGAGACAAAGAGTGTATACACTGACGCCACTGTGATCGATTCTGGGACAGGTTGCCCAGAGTCTGTATTTAACAATATGGCTCAGACCAGTAGTTAGTGACCTAATGGACTGATGCCACGTTTTAGTTTGGCCACCCCTAACTTACTTCCAACCATCCCCAACACTAGTCAGCATTGCACGCCGTGGTGATTGGTGTTCAGGCATACGTAACACGTGGCCCAACCATCTCAGTTGACGAAGATTTACAGCCTCATCAACTGATTTACCATCATTCTCTAATACCCTACACGTCTAACCTCACTAATACTTACTCGGTGATCCCAGCAGATGCCAGCAATATTTCTAAGGCACCTGTGGTCAAATACTAGTAACTTACGAGTAACTTCTCCTAATTACCACATTTTGAAGTCTTAAAGTAAAATAGAACGAACTGCTGAGCAGTATACTCGTCCCTTAATTGATAGACAGATATCTCGCCTTCGCCATAGATGAGGTGAGTTGGCAAAAGCCAAACGAGCTTCTTGAATCCGTGCACAGATTTCGTCAGACACCAACCAATTCGGGCTGATCAGACTTCCAAGATAAGTGAAGTTGCCGACGCGTTCGACTACTTCACTCCCTATCCTTAGTTCAGGTGTTGACGCAGACCAGTCCTGAAGCAACAACTTGCATTTAGAGGGAGAAAAGCGCATTCCAAACATTCTGGCATTGTTGCTCAGTGCTACCAGAAGACTCTGCATTTTCTCAGCGTCTTCACCAAACAGCACTATGTCATCTGCGTATTCTAAGTCGATAAGTGGGTCCCCTGGAAGGAGACTAATGCCCCAGAATTTAGTCTATGAGAGCGTTATTTCCATCAATAGATGTATGATGAAGTTAAACAAAAATGGAGAAAGTGGACAGCCTTGATGGACACCACTTAAATTTGCAAAAGCAGATGACAGTTCGCCATAAGCTCTGACTCGACTTGTAGTGTTCGAGTAAAGAGCCTTCACAAGGTTTATGTACTCCCGAGGTACGCCTTTCAATGACAGACACCGCCACAGAATCTCGTGGTCTACCGAGTCAAATGCTGCTTTTTTGTCAAGAAAGACCACCATTGTCGGACACCGATAAGTATGCCTATGTTCTAGGTGTGTGACTTATCACCATTAGATAAAATTCATAGATTCTGAAGACAGTGTTCGTATTAATCTTACCAGAATAACTGATCAAATTATGTAAAACAGAATGAAATAAATCAGTTTACTGAACTTTTAGCTAAAGAAACATGTTTCTCAAAAGACTACATGAACAACCATAAATATTTCCCGCTATAATAAAAAAGGTATGCAATGTGACCATTAAGATAAAGTAACTCTTTATACCAGGTAGAACAACACAATGTTGAACTTAGCACAAACGACTATCTATCAAACCTGTTATAACTAGTAACACCAGAAGACAGACAATAGAAATGGATGTTGGAAAATATATGGGCGGAGTGGGTGAAATAAGCGAATAGAATAGCGTATTTACTCCGAAATTCGGGAGAATTTTGGTTACTTTATACTTCAATATACGATTCAGACCAACAGTTATTTCACGTACTAACGTTACAACCTCGTTCAGGTTTTTTAAACTGACCTTAATTCAATCGGCATCAAACATTAAGTTAGGGAATAAGTTAGACAATTCCTGAAACTCATAAAACAGAAATTTACTTCGCTCAGCTGTGCAATGATGTTTCCGCAATGATAATATATAAGAAAACTCAGTCGTAAAAAGCTTAGGACTTAACACA